GTTACAAAGTTTTGATATTTTGGCCAATTTCTTTGTTTTTAATAAATTTTGTAACATTTGCTGGATTTTCTGGATAAGTTCCACGATAAGCGCAAATTCTGTGTTCAGCATGCAATTTAGTGAAATTATTGTCCATTTTAGCTGAGAATAATAAGAAACGACAATTATTTTATCGTTAAAACATAATTTTGAACTAATTTGTCAAGGAGTCGACTTTAAATAATTGAAAGCTTCCCGGGGTGAACAAGAAATGATGTTTTTTAACCGACAATTGATGGTCGCATAGATTATTCTTAATTTGTGCTCGCAATGCTGCATCAAGTAGAGTATTGAATAAATGAAATGAATAATTATTTGACAGTTAAATATTGATAATATATCATTTGAAATTTGAGAAAATATAGGAAAAGACGATGTATCGCAAGGTTAGATATGACTTGATTTTGATAAATTTTATTTTCTTCCAACAGATTTTAATGTCATTTTTCTTTCATTTCGATGGCTTTTTTTTCAGATTGTCTTGACTATGCCTTTGGAATATTCAATTTGAAGTTAACGTTTGCGAGTCAGAAATATTTGCGCACACTTTACACAATTTAATACTGGGTTTTCAACAGCAACAGACGGTACGCGGTTCAACAACCTCACAACCCTGCAGAGTTTTTTTTAACGCGATTGTCAATAGTATTGCAGTAAAAAGTGCATTATAAATGAATAAAATTTAAAATTTAACGCAAGAAACAATAAAGCTGTCAAAAATTATTTTTAAAAATTGCACATTGGTACAGAAAAATCTGTGACGCTGAGCCTATTGCGACGATATACATGACTTAGTTTGGCAATGTTCAGATGTACCTATTGTTATACCGGTTTCTGGTTCAGTGAATACAAAAGAAAAGATTATAACATAATAAACGTAGATACTGTTCTAACCTCCGTTTACCACCATAAGGAACATTGGAAAAAATTAAAATAAACGTTGGCTTATCATTGCATCTAACAATAAAGACAACTATCGTTTATTTCGACAAATAATCAAAGAAAGAGATATGACAAATGATTTGAAAAGAGTCCCGTTATATATCGGTAATAGCTAACAGTAAATTGCATTCACACTTGTACTCCATTTGTTGACATAGTAGAGTCGACACGACACGCGGAGGGAGTGTATGGAAGAGCCGCGTTAGATATGTCACGCACCCCTCAGACAATAACCCGCTCACCGGTAGAGCCTCTTGTGAATACTTATCATAGAATAACTGAACTATTTTTTTTAAATCAAAATCTACTTAATTCCATAAAATACTTTGCTCTAACTCAATTGTCTACGGTAAACGGTGTGTATGACAAAGACGACAGATCGAGTTATCTCCCCGTAGTGCAGATTATGTTCAAAATTCTCTAAATAAATGCTTCATTAAAAGAATTTGGTTTTCAAAAAACAGTCCGATTTTCATACTTGCTTTATCATAACGTTCAGCTATAACTCTGCGCTTCATCTATATATTAGATATTATCAAATTATTTATATTGTGGAAAACATTTAAAGTGATATAAAGTGTTTTCCATGATATATTTTATTTCTGTATTCTTACATAACATAGCTAACATAAAACATAGCTGATATGAAAGCAATTAAAATCATCAAAATTTCAATTAATTTTCATAACATCTTGGTTTGTTGAAATTATTTTTGCATTCATTAAAAACAAAGTGAAAAATGAATATCGGCTGATATAACCTCGCTTATATAATGACAAGTACCATCATGAATATTAACGAGTTAAGGGCAGGTGTTATAATGATAATAATACAGAAGAAAATGTAATGTTATATATCGTTCTTTTCTGATAGGCGATTTCTTCATAGCACGTTTGTTAGTAATTATTTTACAAATATCGAAAGAACACCCTAACACCAGCACAGAAAAATAATAAACCACGTTTCCATCAAATTATTGCTGCTAATATTTTCTCTTTATTAGAGTTGAAATATATTTACAATATTTTCCCCTATTTTCTTCAAGATATTTTAGGATGAGTCAATGAATCTTATTTCGTCCTACTACTGCTTAATAAAGATTCCTGTATTGAAAAGTTGCATAAAGTAAAGAAGAGAGGAGTAGTATATCCATACTGGTGTTTTATTTTTTAATTAGTTCATTAAAATCGTGTCACAAATCAATACAATATAAACCACCCCCCCCCCCCCCCCTCTGACGTAAACCTGACTTCGCCACTGTACAGCAATGAAATATATACATTTAAATATCACAGCAGAACATACATAGCATATATAACATAGCATATATAACATAGCATTAAATAACATAGCATTATATAACATAGCATATATAAAATAGTATATAAGATAGCATAACATATGTATAACATAGCATATATAACATAGCATAACGAGCATTTTCCAAAGAATTCGGGGGTAAGGGGAGTAACTACTTATTTCTATGAATAAACGTAAGAAATTATATCAGATGACAAATATGAATAAATAAATAACCTACGCTGCAATTGGGTTTTATGTCAAAACTAACTAACTTTAGTTAAACAAGTCAATATTATCATAGTATAACTAATATCAATTAAGAAACTTCTGATGTACAGATGAAAAAGTCCATTGAAGTTAAGGTTGCACCTGAAGACAGTAAGCTTATTTATTTAAGCTATGTATAATATATAGATAAAAAGTAAGGAGTTATATTATCCCATTAGGTGAAAGTAAAGACAATTATAAATTCGATATGATACCATGTGTAAGTTTCTAGATCCAATTCTAGAAGAGCTCAAGAGTGGACAGAAACAACTAAATATTGACTATAGCAGCGAAGAGATATCGAAAAGTGTTCACACTGATGTCTCCAGAGTCAATTAGTCAAATTAAAGTATAAGACTGTAAGAAGTGCTATAATAAACAGTCCTCAATTACAAGTAAATTTGTGACAATCAAAATGTTGATACAATTCGATCTGATATAAACAGTAAAGTGACCTAACCTTGTGATCAGAGAGCCACAGAGACAAATATTATCTCTTGTACAGGGTACAGACACGTATTGCAGCACAAAAGTCTCTAGGTTTAACTAAGGGACAGATTCGCCTTTTTGGGTAGGCTTACAGTACTAGAAATGTACGAAAATTGTACCATTCATTCTAATTTCCTCTAGTCGCACAATCTAAAGAAAAGGCGAGTTGTCTTTTTAACTTCCAAACATGGTTAATTCTGGACATGGATTTAAAGACTCAAATTTCGACGTTTCTGAGACTAAAGTACGATGGGTCAAACGGATGGCAAACTTGTCCCTTTAAGATACAGCATAGTAATAATATGTAATTCCCAGGCAGCTCAAATTTATATTATATCCATAATAGTGTTTTATTTATTATAGATAATTATAGGATTAATTATAGTTAAAGGGAAATAACTACATTTTTAGACCACAACAATTGTAATGTTACAATTTAACACCCGTCCCATTAAAATGGTTATAAAATGGAAAATCTTACTGAATACAACATGTTGACAGAGGAAACTATGCTGAATAAATCCAATAATGTCTCAACTTATGCGCTGGATTTAGAGAAAAAATTGAACTCAAATATCTGCCACAGGTTAGGAATTAGGGTAGGAAATGTAGGCGATTTTCCTCTCTATAGGCCACATTGGCCGAAAATGACAAATACCTAACTTTGTAAAATGATATTAAAGAGATATAAACTACTATAATATATGTATATATGTATATATGTATATATATAAATATGCTTTTTTTAATGTTTATTTATAAAATCTCATAAACCCATTAACAAACTACAGTACAACAATGATTAACAATTTATATTATAATAATAACATCATATTATCACCACAGTAGTTATAGGACAGATGCATCATATTGGGGGGTTGATTTTAGTCATATATATATATAAATAGTAGAAATGTACGAAATTATAATTCCTTTAAAAATACTTCAAACTAGGAATTTTACCCATTATTTCTATATATGTCTTTTCTATATATCACAGAATATCTTAAAATGATGAGTTGTCATTTTAACATTCAAACGCAGATAATTCAGGACACACATATAGATTTGAAGGCTCAACTGTGAACACTATTACTGAGTAGCTTAGCAAAAAAATTCCAGTTTCTGAGACTAAAGTATGATTGGTCAAAACAATTGCACATCTGTCCCTTTAAAACTAGTCAAATGCTATACGTTGACTTATTAAAAAATAAAATGAATTTTGACATCAGTAGAATTTGAAAGTTAGTTGTGACTCAGCCTCTAACTCTAAGGATGGAGTTAAATAAATCAATATGGTATTTATATTCCAATTTGAATAGATAATCAGTATCATGAACAAAGAATCAAAATCTAATATAAAATAAGTTAGAAACAGTAGGCAAATAAAATACAAAGTGCTTTGGTTAAAAATGACAATATATAATATCAATAACATACAACATAAAACTTTTGGTGAAGCTCTAATAAATAAATATAAAATATAAGAAATGGTTTGGTGAAGATACAAGCCAAAAATATAAATAATACAAGAAATGGTTTGGTGAAGCTACAAGCCAGAAATATAATTAATATACGAAATGGTTTGGTGAAGATACAAGCCAGAAATATAAATAATATAAGAAATGGTTTGGTGAAGCTACAAGCCAGAAATACAAATAATATTAGAAATGGTTTGGTGAAGATACAAGCAAGAAATATAAATAATATAAGAAATGGTTTGGTGAAGATACAAGCCAGAAATATAAATAATATACGAAATGGTTTGGTGAAGATACAAGCCAGAAATATAAATAATATAAGAAATGGTTTGGTGAAGCTACAAGCCAGAAATATAATTAATATAAGAAATGGTTTGGTGAAGATACAAGCCAGAAATATAAATAATACAAGAAATGGTTTGGTGAAGATACAAGCCAGAAATATAATTAATATAAGAAATGGTTTGGTGAAGATACAAGCCAGAAATATAAATAATACAAGAAATGGTTTGGTGAAGATACAAGCCAAAAATATAAATAATACAAGAAATAGTTTGGTGAAGATACAGGCCAGACATATAAATAATATAAGAAATGGTTTGGTGAAGATACAAACCAGAAATATAAATAATATAAGAAATGGTTTGGTGAAGATACAAACCAGAAATATAAATAATACAAGAAATAGTTTGGTGAAGATACAAACCAGAAATATAAATAATACAAGAAATGGTTTGGTGAAGATACAAACCAGAAATATAAATAATATAAGAAATAGTTTGGTGAAGATACAAGCCAGAAATATAAATAATATAAGAAATGGTTTGGTTAAGATACAAACCAGAAAAATAAATAATATAAGAAGTGGTTTGGTGAAGATACAAACCAGAAATATAAATAATATAAGAAATAGTTTGGTGAAGATACAAGCCAGAAATATAAATAATATAAGAAATGGTTTGGTGAAGATATAACTTTGGAACAGCCACAAAAATAATGGTAAAGCTAAGAAATATTGCATAAAATAAGAATATACATGAAACATGCCTTATTATTATATATTATCACTTTCATAAATACATAAATATAATTATACTACAAATTACTGTATATTAATTATGCAGAGTCAATGGAGTAGAATGCAGAGACCATTGTATGGTTCTAAGGAAAATAAAGATCATGGTGAAGTAATCCATGTGAAGCTCTTTAAAAATGTCCTTAGCATGAAGGGTATAATTATGTGTATAGCTCTATAACTTGTGCCTGCTATTACTGAGCTAGTAGGTCAATATTCAAACTTAGATTAACTAGTACAGACTATGACTGTAAATGTTGAACTATTTCAAGTAAAGTGTATAAATTATGATAAGCTATAACACCATTAAAATGATTTGATTCTGACTGGTTGTATGTTACTTGTTGAATTTCGGTCGAATCACCTTTGGCTATTTTTTCCAAGTCTGAGTAACTAACCACACCACCACCAAGAGACAGTAAGATGGCATGTGGTCCACAACAATCCCATTTATACATTGTCTTCTTGCTTAACAGATAAGCACTGGCCAAGCCTTGTGCTGTACATATTAGTTTATGCCCAGCTCCAGATACATATTGGGTCTGATATTTTTCAGCCAATTTCTGTCTAACACTGTCACTTTCACTGGAGCTCAATACAATCAGTTTCTGTTCAAGTTCTATTGGTTTCGATAATGATGATAAATTAATATCACAATAACTTAAACCCCACAATATCTTCTCATTCCAACTGAAAGGAAATACTTATAGACTAGTCATTTCATTCAAATACATAGAATTAGGAATTTTATAACTAAATCCAGGCTGTTTTAGACATTTGAATTCATCAATTCTGCACACTTGACACTTAAGAAACTTACAAAAATACTTGAGCATCAGGATTGAGAGTGGGGGATCTTCAACCCTTTATGCAAATTTTAAAAATGAGGTTTAATTCGCTTGTATCTTAAGCCATTCCAAAAAGCATTCCTGTTGACGAGGTAAAATGTTCGTCCCTTGAGTAGAAATACCAAAAACAATAGGAGCTTTTTTTAGGATTTCGCCATTATTTTCAACCTATCATACTTCTCAGAAAGGGGAATATTTTAGCTAAGCCAATCAGTAACAGTGTTCACAGCTCACTGTCAAAATTTGAGCCTTTAAATCCATGTGTGTCCAGAATTATCTGTGTTTGAATGTTAAAACAACGACTCGTCAATTTAAGATATTCTGTGATATATAGAAAAGACATATATAGAAATAATGGGTAAAATTCCTAGTTAGAATTCATTTTGAAGGAAATATGTGATGTTTTAACATATTTAGTACTTCTGAAGACTATTTACATATATTCAAGACTTAAATCAACCCCCTCCCCAAAATGGCAAATCTGTCCCCTTAAGATAACGCTACTGTTTAAAAATGATTTTCGAATTCACTTTAAAAAAAAAAGATTAGAAAATTTCATTGACAGAAGATGATTGAGCCTTATCCAATAGTCTGACATACTTACCTTTGATTGGTGTAGTTACTAAATGGTTGTATTGCAACACCAAATATGGGTAGTCCAGTTGATTTGAGGAACACACCAATCAAAACTGTCACACATTGTAAACCTTCATCAACAAAGCCATGAGAGTTATATTCCGCTGTTTCACCATTTATAAACTGAGCTGTGGAATCTAAAATTAAAAATAGTGTTTAAAGGGACAGGTTTACCATCTGTTTAACCATACCTTAATGTTTGAATATACTAGCATCATATTAAAATTCTGGAATTTAAATAAGACCTATTCTATATCTAAAATCTAGGACAAACAAGTTAACATGATAGCTTGCTATTTTAAGGTAAATACAAAAATATAAAAATAATCTCTTGGCTGTTGATGTTGACATATTTCCAGTTGCAGTGTGGCTCCCAGAGGGTCAGCTTGTATGAGGCTTTAATAGGTATTTCTTTCAGTCAACAGCAATCTTGTGGTCTATCTTAAATTGGACATTGACTGAAAGTATTTGGTATCTTACCTATTGGATCAATCCAGATACCAATATCACCTATATCTAACGAACACTGTATAGAGTCTATTTTACTATCTGTAACAGGTTCAGTATCTGTATGTAAACAGTGACTTAATAATCCAGCTACTTCATCATCTCCTTCTAAAACCTTTACTACAATAAATAAATAAATGAATCAAAAATTCAATTTTAAATTAAATGATATGTTAAATAAATCCATGATAAAAATAAAAAAAAAAACCATTAATCTGTTTTTAAATAGAATGGAGATAAAAAAATTAGATTAATAAATCATGGTGAATTACATCTTCACAATGTCAATAAATCACAATAATGATAAACATTGTGAAGATCTATATAAATAAATATATTATAAATAATAGAATGAAAGGGAAAAAAATAAAAAGAATTACATTGAATATTGATTCAAATTAAATTAGATTTCAAAAAAAACAATCAAAAATGTTATTTTTGATATTTGAGAATACTACACAATTTGGCATATATCTATCTAAAATGAATTAGATACTAACATAGTAACTGTTTTGTATCTTCAGGCTGATCACCCAATTTAATCACCACAGTCTCACCATTAACATTAGTAAATTTATTGGTTTCTTCACCATGAATATCATCTTCAATACCAGGATACTACAAGTGGAATATATAGAGTATGGTAAATAATTTTAAGATATCTTCATCACGTATCAGGCATAATAATTTAAGCAATTTAATGATAATGTGTTTTGTGGTCAAATGTCTTATCATACATTCAGACATTTTAATTACCAAACATTAACTCAGACATTTTACATCCAGATAATCTAAAATAACAAGCTTACTGGATGAGTAAATAAAACCAGTAAAGAAAACCTCACTATACCCACCTTCAAACTTAAATCATGTCGGACCATTTCTTGAATTAAAACATCAGCTAATGTCTTAAAATCAGCCACAAATCTTTCATTTACTTCTTTACCTTTCTTCTCCTCAATGAGTAATTTTAACAAGGTATCGTTTGATCTTATGATAGAAGCAATATTGGAACCTTTTCTAGCTTCACAAATCACAGAATACATTAACTGTGATAGTAACATCTCAAAAATTAACTATTGATCACCTGTCAGAAACACAAAAAAATGCAGTAAATTATATCTAAGTTCATGCACGTAGATAAATCGAATGTTGATTACCTGGATGAACTTTTTGACAACTAGGCATATATTGAACACTCTTCATGATGTCAAAAGTAAAAACATTAAAGGGGTGGGAGGGGGGGAGGTAGGGCAAAGAATTTCTTAGATATTCAAAGATTACATATTGGAATCCACATGTGATACTGAACAAGTCATATTAATCAGATAAACACTGATTATAGAATAACTTGATACAAATGCAATAAATTAAATCCAATAGCAAAATAATTACTATAAATCAATATGATTTGTTACATGATATTGGAATTGTCATAGCTCCTATTTTCATATAAATACATACAATATGTGCCATGTACCAAAGCACTGAATGCTGTGAGTGAATTAAATAGAATTTAATATAGGCCTACCCTGAACTCCAAGTATTATGATGTACCTGTATGACGCAAAATGTACGACACGCCTCACAGCCCTTTTGTATAGGCTACATATCATATACTTATGTGAATATGATACAACAGTCAATATTGTTGATGGGGTTGACAAGCCTATAAGATATTCTCTTTTGAACTACCTGTAGGCCCAGTAGGCTACTTCTAAAGTCAAAACCTAAAATACAGGCAGCAGTGCTATTAGTTTGTGTAATTTCTCCTTATTCTTTTCAAGCAGAGCCAACACTACAACTACTATGTTTGTATAGTAGATTAAAATATATGTTATAAATTATAACCATATAGATTTATTTTGGTCTCATTCTGTTCATTGTCACCATGGATCATACAGCATTAGGTGTAGATAGGAAGTGAAAAATTTAAAAAGCCTTATGTTGGTGATAACTAACATCGAATGGTGATGCCATAGCTTATATATATGTATGTATAGTATATTTAGGAATACATATTGTTTTAAAACAAGAAAAAAGAATGATAAAGCATCAATGAAAATTCACTAATAAATTATTTTTTTGAAGTTCAAGACCACTCAATAATCAATGTGATAGGCCTATATATTGTGCAACTATAAAATCACTCTATTTCATTCAAGGGCATCTAAACAGACAATACAAAAAGAAGGGACAGGAGACACTATCCAACCGTGAAAACTGTTTGTAAAGAAGAAATCACTTGAAAATAATGAAAAGAATAATTTATTGTATATTTTCATTCAGTGTATGTGCACTACGTCATCATTTCTTGAGTAGAATGTAAACCGGAAGTGGCAGGTTGCAACGAAGGCTCTGAAAATGGCTACAGTAGAGGCAAAATATCACATCTCAATCCTTTGAATATCAAACAAAGTAAATTCAATCCAACGATTTAAAAACAATAACTGCCTTCTATATAGCTGCATCTGCTTCAATAAGTTCCAATTGTGTTGGAATAGTCAGCATATTCATATGAAAATATGATTTAGTGAAACTACTTTTTCTAAAATATTCGGAATATAAATTGAAACATTTCCTTACTTTTTTTGTGCCAGCCAACTGATAAAATATTTTGTGAAATGAGTGATGTGTAGGAAATAGTCCCAGAACAAGGCCAAGTTAGCTGATGCGATTGAAATGCCGAAACACAGCCGTCATTCATCCTCTAGGAAAAAAGAATCGAGACCGGCAGTTTATGGCGACGAATATGATGCTCGATCATATGCGCATTTAGTTCCTGGACAAGCCCCTCCAGATGCTCAACCTACAAGAGAAGCTTCGTCAAGACATAGTTCCCGAGATGGCTCACATTCCAGTCGAAGAAGGAAGTCTAAGAAATCTAAGCACAAACGTTCCCGTGAATCAAGAGAACGTGACAGAGAAAGGACTCCACCAGAAAGCGCTGGAAATAAGTCCTTAGTTCAAGCATATGATGATATTAGCAGTGATTCTGATATATCTGACAAAGTACTTTTGAGAGAGACAGTTCGCTCTCCAAGTCCGATTGCCCCAGTTTCACGATCAGGACACGTTAAAAGTAAAAACAAGAGACGTAGTGTTTCACCTGCCACATTAATCAGGAGCTATGCAAATGATAGGAGTCTGAGTAACTCACCGTCACATGCTCGTGATCCTAGTCCATATTCAGATTTAAATGCAAAACGTGGGAAACAGAAGCGCAAACAGTATTCACCAAATTATGAAAAACAATTTGACGATTCTCGGCCTTCCCCTGAACCACCTCGGGCATATGCTGACCTGCCAAAAGCTTATAGTGCTAGAAGAGTGGCATCTCCAAGTCCGCCTAGGAAATTTACAAAACGTTATGTGTCTAGATCTAGGTCTAGAAGTCCCTTGTTCAATAGAAGACGAGACCGTGCTCACAGTCCAAACTTCAATGTTGGAAATGGGTAGGTAAAATATGTGTGTTATAGTGAGTCTTAGCTTGCCTTTGGGTTGATGAAAATGTTAACTAATGAAAAAAATATTGATTGTAGAATTGATTTTAAAGAGGGCAATTTTCAGTCCGAAAAGTCGTTTTAAATGTAATATCATTGAACCTCATATTTCTATGGACCTGAAGGCATTCTAAGAGAAATGGCATACTATTGAAAATTTCATTTTGAATATTTATTAAATGAGGTACCGGTACCCTACATGGTACCATATGGTCAAATGACTCAGATTTAGTTATCATAAGCTTATTTTCCACATGATAATATGAATTTCGTTGAAATCGATCAATCGTACCTTAGTCTCAGAAACAGAAATTGGTTAGTTAAGCTAATCAGTGGTACCGGTATTTAGTTTTCTCTCCACATTTGAAAGTTGACAGCTCATATTTTCTTAGTCATGTAGATGAGTTCATAAATGGGTTTTTGCATTGACTTTTTTAGAGCATGCACACACCATATTTCTTGTAATAGACATACAATATAGCAGGGGAGGAACTATTGAAGATACAGGAGTAGAAAGTGAAATCTTTAGTTTGAGGAAGATTTGAATGGATGATGCTATTTTCATGGACTTGAAATATTTTATACAATTATGTACATAAATCAATTCTTGAAACGAAAATGCCAATTGTTTCCGTTTAAATCACAATTCATTGTGGATTTTTAGCTTATCCCGCATACACTGGACATATTTCAAATGAAACATTGTGTATGCCACTTTTGCCAAGTTTCAAATGCAATTAAATATTTCAAGTGATGAGATATTACAATAATAAAATAGGTTTTCTAGTAAGGTACACAACAGACTAAATTGTTAAGAAACAATTGTTAGTCCCTTACGTCTGGCTTTAGGCTATATTTTTGATGTCCTTTTAATACGCCCATATCTCTCTATGTGGACGTATATTGTCGGCACCCTTTCGGTCGGTCCGTCCGTCCGTCCATCCATCAACATTTGCTTGTAAACGATCTAAAAGCTAGAGTTTTGATGGAATCAAATGAAATTTGGTATGTGTACACATATTCATTAAACAAAGATCAAGTTCGAATTTGAGCTATTTTTCGACCGTTAGAAGCAGAGTTATTGCCCTTGCCCCAAAATCTTGAATATGCTAAATTACTCTCTTAGTTTTCGACCGATTTTGATGAAACTTAAAATGGATGTTATTGGACCTAAATCGAAAGGTTTAAGAAAGTTTAGTTTACCTCTGATTAAATTTAAGCCTTTTACAAGATTTAGGCCTCTTACGTCAGTTTTGAGAAGTTATCGCCCTTTAACTTCTATACAGTAAGTGCTTCTATCAACATCATTTGTTTGTAAACGCTCTAAAAACTAGATTTTTTGATGGAATCAAAAGAAACGAAGATCAAGTTCGAATTTGAGCTATTTTCGACCGTAAGAAGCAGACTTATTGCCCTTGCCCCAAAATATTTAATATTTACCATCCGCATGCCGCGGTGGGCGTATATGGCTGTGGTCCACTATCTTTTGTTATAAATAATTAGAATTTTATAACATTTACTGGTACTTTTAAAATAATGTTATTTGCCAAATAATGACAAATTTGTTTTAGGTGGGAAAACCTGTTTAATTGATTATCTGCTTACATAGATTTGAAATTTTTCTACCCATCTACATTTACACTGTCAAGCTTTTAGGAACCATGTCAAGCTTTTAGGAACTTCATCTTATACCTTGACTGCCCTCAGCAGAAAGGCTAAATATTGTGACTTATTGTTTACTGACTTGTTGTCAAGAACACTAATTAGCTGTATAGGCTAATTTACAATGCAACCAAATTGCTCCATTTACAAACTTCTGTATTACAACAAAGGTGGCTATTGCTGTCAAGGTAGAAGACAGTTCTTAGTAGTTTGACCTACATAGTACCTACTCTGAGTACTCTCACCTCACAACAGAAGGCAACTGTAGGTCATGCGCTAAAAAGAATTATGAACAGCTAAATTCAGCAAATTGAACATCAAATAATACCCTTAAATGGTAAACTTACCAAAACCTAATGACTGCTTTCCTATTGCTACTCTGTGTAATGCTAATTTGTATTTATCTTTTTAGTAATAAATCAAGAAACAGAAGTCGTTATATGTCACCTCCAAATAGAGGACGACCTATGTCACGTCGAAGTCCATCAAGATCTCCAACCAGACATTCCAACCGTTATTCTTTATCACCTAGTCCATCAGGGGAATCAAGACGTAATAGGAATTCTATAAATCAGTCCACAGTGAAATATCAATCTAGTTTACTTTCAGAAATAAGTAAACACAAACGTGCCAGGGCATTACGCAATGATCGATTGCAGGATAACAAACGATCGTATATCAAAGACAGTCCAGTTACTTCCTCCCGTGAACCCATTGTCATCTCCCCTTCCCCTCCTAAAGATTCTGATCGTATCCCACAACAAAAGAGTCATGCTCTTCCTGAAAGACGAGAATCACGGCCAGAACGCCCTGATCGAATTGATCAAAGGAACATTGATGAGAGAAGGCCAGTTGAGGAGCGTGAACGTAGACCAGTGGAAGATCGCAGAACTATTGAGGAGCACAGACCAGTAGATGAGAGACGACAGCCTGAAGATCGTAGACCTGGTGGTTATAATGAGAGAACAGATGAAAGACGTGGTAATGTCCGTCCTGAGGCTCAAGATGAATCCAGAAGAACACCTCCTAGACGACAATTACCATTACCACAAGTTGTTACCCCAGAATCTAGTTCTAGTCATTATAGGTGAGTTCCATTTAAAAAAAAAAAAAACTTTAAATTCTATTGCAATTTATTAATACATTAGAATCAGAAGTTGCTATTGCTCCCTTGCATTTATCATATCTTCCCACACTTTTATCGTCTGAAGAATCAGAAGCCTATTTAAATGTGTTCCAGAGAATTTTCTGTTATATCTTGGAATGCAATGACCACTTCTTGTCTAGTTGTGATCATAATACAGTACCAGGATTGAAGATGTGTTCTATTGTAATCAGTATCTAGCTCAGTAAAACAAACTGGTTTTGAAATTGTCATAATATTTTATTACAGTGAACGCTCTAGATCCAGAGAAAGAGAACCCTCTCCTAGAAGGCGACGCATTACAGAATTACCAATGCCACCTGTTGTTGATGATCCAGAATATGATCAAGATCCTGACTGTAGCCAAGATTTAGACGATAAAAAAGACCCTAAATTAAAGAGGCCTAGGTATGTTGTAAGTTTGTGGAATTAAGGCCTTGGTTAAAATTGCAATTAAATCTCTGCTTCTATGGTACTTATTTAACATAAAAGTTAAATAAAGCTATGAACATAGCCATGCCTATAAATTCAAAGCCTGCTTATATGTAACGAACATACCGGGCAAACTGCAATATTCAGCCAGGCCTTAAGAATTGGTAGCCTTTTGTTATTATACAGCCACAGTTCATGTTGTGAGAAATGAAATATCTATGACAAAATAATCAGGTTGAGTCTACCTTTTGTTAAATGTTTACATATATATTTACTTATTGTATAACAGGATGTGTTTAAATAGAAAGTATAATAATAAAGGTGACTGGGGAGAGAGAAGTGTAGATGTATTTAAGATATTAGAGATTATTGGTGAAGGAACTTATGGACAGGTTTATAAAGCAAGAGACACCTATACAGGTATGTATACATGTCTTTTATACAATTTATAAGGAATTAACTTGTTGCAGAATAGTTTTTATACGCCCACATGAATATGTGGTTGTATATTGTCGTCGCCCCTGTCCGTCGGTCCGTCCGTCAACATTTCTTGTGAGCACTATAGAGACTACAGTTTTCATCTGATTTTGATAAAACTTGGTGTGATGCTTTAGATTGATAAGATCTCGAACAGCTAATTAGACGGAGTTTCGATGAACAGTTTTTGAGTTATTGCTCTTGACTGTGTAAAAACACTTCAAAATTTGTTTAAAATAGTTTCTGATGAAACTTGGTGTGATCATTGGAATTGATAAGATCTCGGACAAGTTCTAACAAGAGATATTTTTAATGAACATTTTTTGAGTTATTGCCCTTGACTTTGTAAACACGCGTCAAAAGTTGTTTTTTGCCCTTGATTAGAGCTGTGTGATTTAATTGTTTGTTGTATTTGGGTTATTGATATTGATTTTAAAAATCACCTTGCATCGCAAGCTATCTTTTGTCTTGTGCCAGTAAACTTAAACACTGAAGACATTTCAGTACATTTCCAGTCCAGGTCTGTCATGAAATGCAGTACCGTAGTGATGTTCCAATTGTTGGCTACAATCGATTATCGAACGTTGAAGGTCCAGCGATGTTACTAATCGATTCTCAACTAAAAGTCGGCAAACCATATAAAAAGTTTAGTCAGGTTTTTTTTTGTTAATGATATAATGATATATTATTTCTAATAATAATTAAAATTTCTATAAGATTTGGGTGACTAAAACAATGAGATCCTCATAATGTGTCGCACCTTTGATTAATTTTTCTCAAGGACTGAGATTTGGCACAGAAACAAATGAGGCGTGATTGTTACTCTAAATAGTTTTTAGTCACAGATTGTTCTGAATAAGGTATTATACTGAAGTGGATTGTAGACAACATTTCGGGGAGTACAGCATAGACATGGCCTATTTGCAAAAATTCATGCTTCATCATTTAACAATCGAAAAACGAAACTTCTCTTCTTTTGTAACCAAATAATAACAACTTATAAATATCAATTTTCGCAAGAAATACAGCAAACCCAAGCTTTAAAAATTATCGGTTAGTTTGGAGAATCTACTCGTGCAACCTTGAAAATTTAGACCCAATATCACGGGAATTAATGACAAATGCAAGTATTTCATCACTTCGAAAATAACATTAGAAATATCAGAAGTATAAGAAAAGCCATTATTGAAGAAATATTATAAAAGTGGACATGACATGTAATCCTATGGTGTGATGTAGAGTCACTGTTGTGGGAAACGGCGACATTACTGTTCAATATTATGGTGTCTGCGTTATGCCAACTTGTTGTTTTTTTTTTTCGTCCAGACAAGATGTGCGTTATTTACAGCGACAAATTTTTCAGATTTACTCGAGTGTCAAAGGGATGCGCATCGCATTGATATAAGAATACATTTGAGGTTAGAGAAAGGCTACAACTGTTGTATTTATTTTTTGTACTAGTATTAAATTACAATTCAAGAATCAAAGTTTTTTTTATAACACTACTGTATAACTTATTATGTCTCTCTGATTATTTCAATTAATCGATTATTATTTTCATCCGATTGCCCATCACTTAAATGAAGGGACTTATAGGTGCAAGGACTGTCGCACATGAGGCTTAAGTATTTTTATATGCCCATAAATGAGTGGTCGTATATTGTCGTTGCCCCTGTCCGTCGGTCCGTCTGTCAACATTTCTTGTGAGCACTATAGAGACTACAGTTTTCATCTGATTTTGATAAAACTTGGTGTGATGCTTTAGATTGATAAGATCTCGGGCAAATTCGAATTTGATGCGTCGAAATTTGTTAAAAAAAACTACAGTTTTCAACCGATTCTGATGAAACTTGGTGTGTTCATTAGAATAAGATCTGGGACAAGTTTTAACTTGACGCATTTTAGATGAACAAATTTTGAGTTATTGCCCTTGACTTTGTAAAAGCGTGTCAAAATGCGTTCATGAGCACTATAGAAGCTACATAGTTTTCAACAGATTTTGATCAAACTTGGTGTGATCATTGGAATTGATAAGATCTTTAACAAGTTCTAACTTGAAGCATTTTCAACGAACGGTTTTTGAGTTATTGTCCTTGACTTAGGAAAAACGCTTCAAAATTTGTTTGTGAACACAATAGAGACTACAGTTTTCATCTGATTTGAATGAAATTTAGTGTGAAGATTTTTATACGCCCACACATAAGTATGGGCGTATATTGTGGTTGCCTTTGTCCGTCCGTCCGTTCACATTTACCTCGTGCTCACTCTACAGGCTACAATTCTCTATTGATTCTTTTGATCTTTTGTATGTGTGTCAATATCATTATGAAGATGTGCACTATTGAATTTGGTAATGATTCGATGATTTTCTTGAGAGATATCGAATAATAAAACTGATATCGCGTTCGTTGTTTTTTCTTAATTTTTTTTGCTCATGTTCACTCTACAGACTACAATTCTCTATTGATTCTTTTGTATGTGTGTTAATATCATTATGAAGATGTGCACTATTGAATTTGGTAATGATTCGATGATTTTCTTGAGAGATATCGAATAATAAAACTGATATCGCGTTCGTTGTTTTTTCTTAATTTTTTTTGCTCATGTTCACTCTACAGACTACAATTCTCTATTGATTCTTTTGTATGTGTGTTAATATCATTATGAAGATGTGCACTGTTGAATTTGGTGATGATCCGATGATTTTCTTGAGAGATATTGCATAAAACTCTGATATCGTGTTTTTTTCACTTTTTTGACTTGTGCTCACCCTACAGGCTACGATATAGAGTTTGTTTTACAGTTCACATTTAGCTCTTTATCAAGCTGCTGGTGGGCGTATTCGCTTGTGAGACTTTTTTCGATGAACGGTTTTTGAGTTATCGCCCATGACTTATTACTTGTTATTGAGAATTATTGACATTGATATTTAAAAATTTTGTGGAATTACTCAACATAAATAACTGACATATATATATATGTAATTGAATTCAAACTAATAAAATTTCTTCAATATGAGAAAATTGGTACTTTAGTCACTAAAGACTGTTTTATCATTTCTGACAGCTGCCAGCGGGCGCATTGTTACCTTGCCTTGCAAGCTATCTTCTTATCTGAAGGCCTATAGAGTTTTTCAATGTCCTCATACCTGCATCACTTATAAAATCTTAAAGCATCAGTTTTACCAGGATTGAAGCCTTGTTCATGTTTTGTCAACCAATCTTAGTGCTATCCTAGAGAAACAGTGTTAGAAGATTAGACCTTAGGATATCCTAGTGCTAAGATCATTTGAAAAACACTTGGCCAGGATCTCAAGTCCAGTGTGTCATTGTCACCTAATGATCCACACAGATTCCAGATTCCCTTCCAGCCTTACACAAGAGAATAATTGATGCTTCCTTGACAGAAGAGCAGACTTTTGTGTTGCTATACAGGATATCTGGATTTATTTTTGAACTCTTATATCACTGTATTATTCCTCATTTCAGATGACTTTGTAGCATTAAAGAAAGTACGTTTAGAAAATGAGAAAGAAGGATTTCCCATTACAGCAGTTCGAGAAATAAAAATTTTACGTCAATTAAATCATCCCAATATTGTCAATTTAAAAGAAATTGTAACAGACAAACAAGATGCTCAAGATTTTAAGAAAGATAAAGGTAAGTGCTTGTTCTGATACTGTTTTGAAATTTGAAGCTATCACTTTCTTTGAATGATAGCTTAGATATGACCTTGCCAAAGGTGATTTATTCAAATCATATATATTGAATATAAGGTGTTTTATTAGCCATTAACCTTGATTTGTCTTGTAGCTCTTTCAATCAATAGTTGAATGTCAAGACAATCCCATTGGTCAACAAAAAGTAAATTTACTACTCTTATTATAATACAATATAAACCTGTTTTATTTTTCAGGAGCATTCTATCTAGTATTTGAGTATATGGATCATGATTTAATGGGATTATTAGAGTCTGGACTGGTAACATTTAGAGAGGAGAATATAGCTTCCTTCATGAAACAGTTATTAGATGGTCTGTTTTACTGTCATACAATGAACTTTTTACATCGTGATATCAAATGTTCTAATATTCTACTAAATAATAAGTAAGTTGACTTTTCCTCATGCTAGAATAAGCCAAAGTTATAATGTTGTTTATCATTTTTATATGCCCACATTATAATGTGGTTCCGTCCGTCTGTCCGTCCGTCTGTCCACAATTGGCTTGTGAACGCAATAGAGACAACAGTTTTTATCTGATTTTGATGAAATTTGGTGTGATGATTTATATTAATGAGATCTTGGACAAGTTTAATTTGACGATATTTCGATGAATAGTTTGTATTAAGTTATTGCCCTTGACTTCAGAGAAACTCATCAAAAATTTGTTTGTAAACGCAATAGAGACTACAGTTTTCATTTGATTTAAATGAAATTTGGTGTGAATATTTATAATGATGAGTTCTTGGACAAGTTCGAAATTGGCTTTCGATGAAGTGTTTGTGAGTGACTGACCTTGACTGAGGAAAAATGCGTCAAAATTTGTGAATTCAATAGAGACCACAGTTTTCATCCGATTTAAATGAAATTTGGTGTGATCATTTATAATGGTGAGATCTTATTAAAAATTGAATTTGACGATTTTTCGATCAACGGAATTTGAGTTATTGCCCTTGACTTAGTAAAAATGCATCAAAATTTGTTGGTTTGTTAACGCGATAAAGGTGACGATTTATGTCAGAATTTTATTAAATTTTTTGTGTTTGATTAAATCAACAATATCTTGCACAAATTGAATTTTTGGTATGATTTGACACAAGACTGCCTTTGATATATGATATATATAAAATGTATCAGGAAAGTGGGCGTATATTGCTAGGAAACCACTGGTTTGGTTATGACATACCTACAATATCAAGCAACTTCAAATCCATTAGTGATCTATAAACCATTATCAATCACTGAATACAGAATACTAGTCCATGGATATGACAAGTATGATATATTTGAAACAGGTTATTTAAGTTTAAGTTTAACCCTCTACAAAACATTTTGAAAATTAGGAAAGAGGTAGCAAACTTTGAAATTTTCCTTTTTCATGATGTGAGTTTTGAAGAGAAATAAAGCAGTTGATAGCCCCAGATTTTGGTAGGGAATCATATATTGTTTGCGTATAGCAGGCCTGTGCAACCTTTCTGAATCGGCGGGCCACATTTGGGGGATGCGAGTAGGCCGTGGGCCACGTAACCAACTATCAATAAACCTTGGAATTAACAATGAGAAACATGCAATTTTTTCAAGTCATTTATTTAATAATGTATTTCAATGTGCATTGCAAATAACAGACATATTTGTTGTAAAATCACTGTTTCACATCACACTTATTCAATGATATTTTCATGATCAATGAGAGGTTTGCAATTGGATACTTTGAATAACTTTGAAGTAGCTACTCTCAGCTACTCATCTGTCAATGAGGTTCGATGAGGTCTCTTCATGAATCCATGAATCCCGTTTTGCTGAATAATGGTTCGCAGAGATATGTTGAATAATGCCAATTTTGACGCAACAAATCTCTTGAAATTGGGGAAACCGTCAAGATTTTCAGATAATGGCCTAGATAAGTGAAGGTCAGACCTCGTTAAGGATTTGATTGGTTGGATTCACTTTGATGTCGTACTTTGATATCAGAATAGGCAGAGATAATCTGCGGGCCACACCGACAGTGAAAAGAGAAAACGAATCATTTGCTTGCGGGACGCATTTCACTCAAATATTACATGAAGCCGCAGGCCGCACTAAATCATCTCGCAGGCCGCCGTTAGTTGCACAGGCTTGGTGTATAGTATTATTAAAATCTCTGCCATGTGTCTTTATAGCCATTAAATCTTAGTCTGTCAAGGTACTTATTAACCTGTATTTTGTTATAACAGGGGTCAGATAAAGTTAGCTGATTTAGGATTAGCTAGGTACTATGATGCTGAAGATAAAGATCGTCTATATACTAATAAAGTTATTACTTTATGGTACCGTCCACCAGAACTATTACTAGGTGAAGAACGATATGGGCCAGCTATAGATGTCTGGAGTTTAGGGTTTGTAACCAATTTTAGTTTGCTTATGTTTCATACAAAATGTTTAAACTGCAAACATAATCCTGATGTAGCAAGTGAATAATTCTGAATATATATTTAGGAGTATTGGCTTGATTAAACATGTATTTGTTTGAGAGTTAAATGAAGGAAGAGTTTATAAATGAAGGTGTCAAATAACGTTATTCTAGAAAATTTGATTCACAATCCTGTTACCTTGTCACATGTCATCAGAAGAGCTTTGTCAGACCATAGTCTGTAACCATTATTTATTTAATATTTTTTCCAGATGTATTCTGGGAGAATTATTCACAAGAAAACCTATTTTTCAAGCTAATCAAGAGTTTCCTCAGTTGGAACTAATTAGTAAGACTTGTGGCTCCCCTTGTCCTGCTAATTGGCCAGATGTTATCAAACTGCCTCTCTTCCATACGTTTAAACCTAAACGTCAGTATCGCAGACGACTTCGGGAAGAGTTCGCTTTGTAAGTATGAATTCTATATTTCTGGTATATTGTAAATCTTGTATAAAGTATTGTCCATTCAACCAGCATTGTGTACATCCAAACTGCAAAATTGTTATATTTAAATGAAACTTTGTCTTTCAGTAACAGGTAAGTATGCCAGTTTCTTTATGGCTTGTCATTTCTATCTGTTTCAGAAATTTTAGGATTTAAGGCCAATTCACATGACATATATCATTTATACATACACCATTTTACAGGCCCCACCCACAACCCAAATTCTTTTCCAGAACTATCGCCTCCTGATCTCTGTAGATTTATACATCAATGTTAGTTATTGAACATTATATTTATTTGTATGTGAAACTATATTGAAATTACAGTTTGATGCCTAAGCCGGCTTTAGATTTGATGGACAGAATGCTGGATCTGGATCCATCAAAGAGATGTACTGCTAAGGAAGGGCTGATTAGTCCGTGGTTACGGGATGTTAAACCTGAATCCATCCCACCACCAGAGTAAGTCTACAATATCTTTGTATTTGGGCAAAGGCAAGAAACTAATATGGTGTCACAGTATATAGGTGTGTCAAGCTGCGTTTGATTTGAGCATAAAGCTCAGTACCCTTGTAGTTTCATCCCAGTTAACTGGAGGAAATTCCATCCATTCATTTATTCAAATGGGAGTTTTCAAAAGTGTAAGTCAGTTGCTGCCAGACACAGTGAGATTTTTCAATCTTCATAAAATCGCAAACATTATTTCACTTAATTCATATTATTAAGCATCACATTGAAACTAAGGTGGCCCAAAGAATTATTGGTATGATTTGAAGAAGAGGGAAACCTGGGTCCTAGAACTTAAATTCCTAATTTGACTGAGAAATAAATTTAGTGTTCCCTGATTTTAGCAAAAAGTAGGATGTAAAACTCCATTTCATTTCCTGATTTTAGCCTCAGATTTAAAATAAGATTAAAATGAGCAGTACTGACAAGTTTTTATTTACACATATTCTTTTCTTGTCTTGACTTTTTTTACCATACTAGTAGTTTAACAATGGAATTATTTTTTTCGATTCTGATTTTCCAGATGTTATGCTTGGTGTTGGTGTTGAAATTTTGATTTATTCTTATATAATTTTATTACATTATCTTTTAGTTTGCCTAAGGATCAAGATTGCCATGAACTATGGTGTAAAAATCGGAAAAAATTGATCCGTGAAGCCCAGAAACGTGGAGATAACAGCTATTTATTGAGTCCAACACGGACCGCCAGTGTCTCTAGTGCTCAAAGTAGAAGTTATTCTTCCCACGGTGGTGATCATCCATACAAGAATTATTGTTGATTTAATATTAGACTAGTTACTAGTTACACTAATAAAAAGACCATTCCATTTTGTGTTTATTGTAGTTTACCTAAGGATCAAGATTGCCACGAACTTTGGTGTAAAAATCGTAAAAAATTAATTCGTGAGGCTCAGAAACGAGGCGATGACAGTTATGTTAAAAGTGTGTCTCGTTCTGCGAGTGTTGGCAGCACCCAGAGTAAATCTTATTCTTCTCAAAGTAGCAGAGACGCTTCTTATAGTAGGAATGTGAGCATTGATATGCAGGATGCCAACAATGCTGCTGTTAAAAATCAGTTGGCACAACTTATGCCATTGCTGGAAAATCATTCTTCTTTAAGTGTTGCTCAGCTTGCCAAAAAACTTGATGTGAACATTGATCCAACAACTTCACAATTATTGGACAATTTAAAAAATCAACTTATGACTAACAAGACTCAAACACTGCCGTCTGGTGGGGATGGTTTTGGAGGTTACAGTTCAAATGGTAATTATAATACTAGTGGAGCTTCTGCAAGTCATGGACAGCCTTACACTGATCAAAATCAAGATAAGAATGCAGGAGTGAAAGCAGCTCTAGCTCAGCTACTGACGAAACAAGGAATGGATGTGACAATGAGTGGTAACCAGTACCAAGCTAATACAGATACAGCATCAGGTGGAAAATCAGCACCAGCAGTAACAGCCAGACAGTACAGTCAAGATTCAAGATCAAGCCTTGACCGACCTTATAGTGATAACTCAATCCAAGGCTCTGTTCAACGAAGTATGTCATCAGAAGATTCCAATGATGGATTGAAATATGGACGGCCACCCCAACCTCTAGTGTCAAAATCAAGTGGAGCAAAGAAGGCTGGTGGTAGAGGTCATGGTGAACAGTATCAAGGGAGAGATCGCAGATCTGGTGGATATGAAGGTGAACATTCCAGAGGAGGAAAGGGAGGAGCTGATCACTCTGGAGGTTCGGGTAAAAAGTGGCGGTAAAAGATCTTCAATTTTGAATGAGCTTACTTACTTATATTTGATTATGAATTTAGAAAACTTGATCTAATTTGTTGTATATTTCTTTGTACATTGTCAAATAATTATGTTTGATCTGATGGAGATGTCTTTTTTTAAAAAAATCAAAACATGTCAAGTACAATCATAAATTCAGCCCTGTACAGATAGTTGAATTAGAATTTCAAATTGATTTCAATGAATATGTAAATATTTTGAGTAATCAGTATACAGATATGTATGATAATATTTATCTGATAATGTTATAATGTGATAGTGTGTATAAAATATGGTTTGGAAACTTGTATTTAAGACACTCAGTCTAATGGAAATCATGCCAATCTTCCTTGTTTTTAGTTATTTTTTCCAACAAAATGTGTTTTTGTTTGAAGAAGGGTTTACTGTACATTTTGTTATTTTTGGTATTATGTGATTAAGACTATTTCATACCTGTGGTCCAGGTTGGTTCCTTATTAGATAATAAAATACTTGTATCAGCTTAACAAATATACAGTGTGCATTTGTTGAGGTCATACAAAATTTTTTTAGCCATTTGAATAAAGGATTAGCTTTGGCATTTGCCCTAATAGGTTGACATGTGACTGGCACAAGATATTCCTCTCTAGGAAAATTGCTTTTATGTATATATGGTATAATAGTGTATATAAGATTGACAAAAAAAAACATTGTACATCTCTAGTTAATTATTGTAATGTATGTATACTGGTGAATTGGTGGTGATCGTGGATTTTTTCCTGCCTTATTGTTTCCTATTCCTTTACATTCTCTAGACCACAAACTGATGGGAATAAAACAGATATTAATGTTTTTAAAAAAAAACATTTAAGGCATTGTTTGGTGGCGATTTTACACAATTTTAATGATTTAAATACCTTAACAGACTGATTTTTCAATAAATTCTGAATATTTACAATCGTTTCAATTAATACATTCTATGGGAATTCGATTTAAGATAAAATTGACACACAAGAAAACTTCTTACAATTATTAAGGTGTTATTTTAAGCACCAAATTTTATCAGGAATTCATCAGTACACAGTGTAACTTAAACACTGATAATCAAATCTTATTATGAATTAACATTGTTTTGGCAGTATTATAATCTTACTTGAGATGGAAAGTTATAAAGACAATGGTAGGTTAAAAAACCCATGTTTTCCATGTGGATATTAATATTTACCTCTATAATTTGGAGGTGTTTTTAAAAATGTAGAAGAATAAGTAGACATACTCTAGATTGATCCAGCAAGCCGATGATCTTGTCACTATAATTAAATGGATTGTAAAGAGGTTTTTCCAGACAGCTACCATTTGCACCAATCAGATGTGCCATCTAACTTCTGTGGGTTGGGCAATTTAAAAATTCATGACTAGATAATGTCACTATCACAGATGCCATTAGTGATGTCATACGTTTTTCTAGATCACATGACCCACAGTTGTCAAAAAGATATTGTCGATCGAGATATATCGAAAATGCTAGACATAAAATAAAATGGTGTTCTGTTTTGCTATGTAGTTGTTTCAAAATTGATAATTGGTATCGTGCTACTCCATGGTAGTAGAATATCAATCAGCTTGTTGCATCAATGTCCAATATTAAAGACTTGTGCTGTGCTTGACAAATGATGGCTTGCCTTCTTTAATAAGTTTTGGTTGTGAAATTTTCACAGAAGAATTATGATCTTAAAAAGGAGAAATGGTAAAATTTATAGTATCAATTCTGAAATGGTTAATTGTTTGCTGGTGATACATGTACATATTTGCTTTGATACTTATTATTTTCTTACACAACCAATCATTGGTTACTATTCTATGGTTAAAGAAAATGTTCAATTAGAGGGTTGGTTTCTAAATATTTTTTTTAGTTTTTTGATTCCAAGACTGGCTAGATATCAGTGCTTCTTAATATGTCAATTTATCCAGACTGTAGAACCTTTTTTGTTCCTCTATGAAAACAGCTTTCAGATTGAAAGAAGTTTCTTTAAAGGGATACTATATCTTAGAATAACATAAAAATTTTAAACTCGGCCAATAAGAGTATCTATTCATCAGTAGATATACCTAGTGTCATAAATAACATAACAGGATTTTTATATAATCTGATAAATCCAAAAAACTTTATTTTCATTTTATTTGACTAATATTTTTATGATTCACTATTACCACACTAGTTGCATTACCTGTATACCTTATATTCTTGTGTATGATTATGTATAAAAATGTTGTCAATTTTGAGCAGTTGTGCCTTATGGTTGATATATGATTCTTGTGATTGAAAATATTTGAAATGAAAGTAGTGTTTTGTTTTATCATATAACATCTAATTATGAAGAGTGTAAGTATTCACCCAGGTAAATGGGTTACTGGCTAGTGTAATGTGAATAGTGTGTTTAGTAAAGATATTTTTGCACATTCAGGAATTACCTAAAACTTTATAAGGTAATATGAGTGATAATGAACACAAAAAGTTCTGATTTCAAAAATTTCTCTTTGAATAAAATAGTTTTCTTTGATTTTGGTTTGAATCATCCCTGGGTGTGCTTGAAAATCTTTTTCAAACTTAATAAGAAGGATATATGGCAATATATAAATATGGTTATGGTCTATAAAAACAGATATGGACAAAATTGCATTTGTTGAGATCAGAAGACATTTATATTATGTTAATTGTATCTCTTAATTTCTATGTATTTGACAAAATTTTTGTGCTGTTTTCTTAGATATCTTCATGGCAAATTTGGTTTTGAATTCAGATCTTTTTCATAAGAAAAGTATTTTTGTTGAAATTGAACCATACTGACAGTCTTGATAATGGCAAGGCTGGAATGTGTCATTCAAATAGTGATGCAGACATCTCGAAACATTGGAGAACCTTGCAAAAAACTTTCTATTGTATGCTTTTGGTGATCAGTTGGTAGAAGTCTGCTTCTCTTCCAGTCAGTGACTGTATTACCAAACCAGGACATGGGAGTTGGTCTGATATATATATATATTTTATTGAAAAAAACTATTCTTTTGTTGATTTCTCTTGATTTTTGTGTGATATAGAGTTAATAAAATATTGAAAAAATTCCAAATCTTCTTCTTGCAGAGGAAAACCAAAATGAACCCAATAGAAAAATTGTAATTTTGTTTTGAACTAGTATTTGAATACTGAATTGAACCATATCTTGGTTTCTCTCTGCTGACCCCTACAACTTATTATGTGCTTTACCATCCTACATTTACATGCACTGTGCTTAATCATTATGTTAATTTTAGTGAGGATATTTTGTGTGAAAATCTGTTTCATAATATTTTGGAAACTTTCTCAATGTGGAAAATGTGGAAATAGAAATACAATGATAAATATTTTCACTGTTACAATGTGGATTCAAATTATGTGAATATTGGAATTCTGGAATTATTTGGAAATACAATGCAATAGAATTTCTTTGGAACTCAATATTCATGTGGAACAACAAGTGTCATCTGTGAAATTTTAGCGAATGGATCAAGTGAACAACTATTGAACATTTGGTTGAACGCCCCTAAATAAAATTCCATGTATAGAAGCAAGTGAACGTTTCTCAGTTTAATGCTTGTGAAAGTATGCTTTACAAGTATTTTTGACAATTATGCCTAATACAATGTGCTTTACAATACATATATTGTTTTATATCATTTATATCTGGTGAACAATACAATGAGCTTTATATCTTGTGAACAAAACAATGAACTTTATATCTGGTGAACAATACAATGAGCTATATATCTTGTGAACAAAACAATGAACTTTATATCTGGTGAACAATACAATGAGCTATATATCTGGTGAACAATACAATGAGCTTTATATCTTGTGAACAATACAATGAGCTTTATATCTTGTGAACAAAACAATGAGCTTTATATCTGGTGAACAATATAAAGAGCTTTATATCTGGTGAACAATACAATGAACTTTATATCTGGTGAACAATACAATGAGCTATATATCTGGTGAACAAAACAATGAACTTTATATCTGGTGAACAATACAATGAGCTATATATCTGGTGAACAATACAATGAGCTTTATATCTTGTGAACAAAACAATGAGCTTTATATCTGGTGAACAATACAATGAGCTTTATATCTTGTGAACAAAACAATGAGCTTTATATCTGGTGAACAAAACAATGAGCTTTATATCTGGTGAACAATACAATGAGCTATATATCTGGTGAACAATACAATGAGCTTGTATATCTTGTGAACAATACAACAAGCTTTATAACTTGTGAACTATAATGAGCTTTAAACAATTTAACTGAAAGTGTTGACTAGTAATTCTAAGTGCAATGGTTGTGAAATTGAAGTCATCTGTGGACATAATTTATGAAGTGAAACAACCAGTTATATTTGATTTTACTGCACAGCCAATGTACATAAAAGTAAAATGTATGCTACAGTAATGTGAATCTCTTACAAAAAAAACAAACAGCATGTGGTTAGTATAATGAAAAATTAGAAATCACTTTCATGCGTGATCAGGGGTTTAATTCGGTTAGAGCTTTTAATGTTAAGAAAACGCTGAAATTTGAATTAGATTTTTTTTTCTCATGGCACACACAAACCAAGTTTGATCAAAATCAGTATGCAATTAGCTCTACAGTATGTGAACATTACAATTGGCCCCACAGTATGTGAAAATAACAATTGGCTCCACAGTATGTGAACAGTATAGTTGGCTCACAGTATTTGACTGTACAGCTTGTGAATATAGCAGATGACTGTAAAGAATGTGAACATTACAAATGGTTCCACAGCATATGAACATTACAATTTGCTTGACAGTTTGTGAACATTACAATTTGCTTGACAGTTTGTGAACATTACAATTGGCTCACAGTATGTGAACATTATAAATTGCTCAACAGTATGTGAACATTGGATCCACAGTTTGTGAACATTACAATTGGCTCACAGTATGTGAACA